TGGCAGCCCTGCGCATGACCGTGACGTAGACGTTGCTTCTCTCTCTTTCTATCAATAGCTTCGTTCCCCACGCTTTCCGGGCTGGTCCGGTAATTAGAGAGTACAAATAAGTTACTCTCTCACAAGTGTCAAAAATGTGCCAACACGTGCCAAAAGTGCCCAGAGCGTGAGGAACGCAAAAAACCACATTTCGTGCCCGGAATCAACAGCTCTAAACAATGATTTTACGTGTATTTATCTTATATGGCTAATAAAATTACCAAATAACTACATTTTCTGAAAATTCTGTGATATTTTGCACTTTGGTTTTTATAAAATTTGCTTTCGGATTTAAACAACAACAGCAGTTATTTCAAATTGCCCTTTTGCACATTTGTGCCCGGAAAAAAAGTCCGGGCTGTTTCGTGCACAAAGAAGAAGATATTTACGATCCAAAAGTGGAACGTATTCGCTCTCTATTACCCATTTTTCTAGCGTGAGGAACGCTTTCTGGGCTGCTTTGGGCACCCGTGGGTACCCGCGGGCTCGTGTGGAACAAACCTAATAGTACACTTGATATCTTTCTACGTACTTCTACGCTACGCTACGTACACGTTCGTGGGTAACCGCGCTCTGAGGCTATCGGTGAGAAAGTTCGAAAAAGCTTATGCACGCGTACATCAAGGTTTATATATAAGAGCTTGCGCAATGCGCAAGTCCGTTATTCTTCTCGTAAAGTTTGGGCGAAAGCAACAGGCACACAGTGCCGCGAAGGTGGACAAAAATACAAAAATCGACTGTCTTGAAACTTAGATGTTTTGATGTCATGTTACAGCTAAATCTCCAACTAAGAGAAGTTCATAAGTTATTTTGTGATAAAAACAACTTTCAGCCTCACACACCCCCTCAAAGTACACCTATTTTCTACATACCATTTCATTTCGGCGATTCGCACATAAAAGTGGTCGCAGTTAAAAATTTGTTAAAAATACATTTTTATTCCTAGCAAGATCAACTTTTGCACTTTGATAAAGATATATGCGACAAACCAACAAATGTATGGTTCATGGAAAAAAAATTTATACAAATATTTTTTTTTTATTAATAAATAAATATATGATTAAACATACCAAAATCCGAAAATTGGTAAACTTTGGAGACAAAAACAAAAAAACATCTTGAAAGTTCGTGAAATTTTTTTTTTGGTTATGGTAGTTTGGACCTTCTACTAACAGAAACAATCGAAATCTCTTCCAACTTTTTCCAATATTTGAAAATTTTCAATTTTGAAAAAGTGACTAAATGCCTTTTTTTGGTATTATTTTAGCTGATCTATATTTACAATACTTTTTCTGAAT